GGTGTCTGAATGCCTGCATTGGGTACCTCCTTTTCCAATAGTCTATATTCCCATACGTGTTGCATTTGGTCTACCTTTGGGCTTTATCCTCTATTGTATCACTCTGTCCACCCAATTTTATTGCATACTTTAATGATGAGGGCTTCATAACTGGATTGGTTTTCACTATATGGCATGAGCTGCAGTTCTAATTATGACAGAAAGCACAGACCTCCTGTGTTAGGTATTTAAGAGAAAGACAGGGGCGCCTGGGTGGCTTAGTCGGTTAAGCGTCCGACTTTCGCTTAGGTCATGATCTCGCGGTTCATGGGTTCGAGCCCCGCGTCGGGCTCTGTGCTGAAAGCTAGCTCAGAGCCTGGAACCTGTTTCAGTCTGTGACTCCCTCTCTCTCTGACCCTCCCCTGCTCACGCTGTCTCTCTCTCTCTCCTAGAAATAAATAAAACATTAAAAAAAAGAGAGAGAGAAAGGCAGATATACTGGGCACTTGTGCTGAGAATGTCACTCTGTATTTTTTGCCAGCCCTCTTCCCCACCCTTGGAGACAAGAATCCCATTTGTTCACACAGGAATGTAGGTGATGGCAAGTCCCTTCTCTTCCCTTTCCTTTTTGTCTCTCAAACTCCCTGTCCCTACCTTCTACCTGTCTCTTTCTCTGATGTAATCCCCCAGGCCCACTGCTCCACTCCAGCCATGATCAGGATGTCCTCCAACTGCTGGCCTGTGCCCTGGCCATCTCTCATTGAGGAATCTGGGAGAAGATATGGAGTTAAAGGGACTGATCACAATTTCTCTGTTCCTTAGAGCCCTCCTTCACATGGTGCTGTCTGGGGAGAGCTGGCCTCCTGGGCCAAGGTCTGATTCCATGTGTGGCCTCCTCACACATGCCATCTCCCACAGTCACTGCTGGTCCCTCATCCTTACCCACCATTAGAAATCAGAAGATGTGGTTTATCTATACCATGGAATACTACATGGCAATGAGAAACAATGAAATCTGGCCATGTGTAGCAACATGAATGGACCTTGAGGGTGTTATGCTGAGCGAAATAAGTCAGGCAGAGAAGGACAAATAACATATGTTTGCACGTATAGGAGGAATAGGAGGAACTTAACAGAGGAACAAGGGGGAGAAGAAGGGGGAAATGGTGGGGGAAAAGGAGAGAGGCAAACCATGAGAGACCCTTGAATGCTGACAAAAACTGAGGACTGATGGATGTAGGCGGGAGAGGGTGATGGGCATGGAGGAGGGCACTTGTGGGGATGAGCACTGGGTGTTATGTGGAAACTAATTTGACAATAAACTATTTGTAAAAAAAAAAAAAAAGAAAGAAAGAAAGAAAGAAATCAGCCATATGCTAGGGACAGACACCTGTATGTCTGACCCTGAGGACCCAGGGATTCAGTGAATATTTCTATAATAAACTAGAACATACTACCCTAAAATTTGTATGGAACCACAAAAGACCCTGAATAGCCAAAGTAAGATTGAAGAAGAAAACCAAAACGGGAGGCATCACCATCCCAGATTTTAGCCTCTACTACAAAGCTGTAATCATCAAGACAGTATGGTACTGGCACAAAAACAGACACATAGACCAATGGAATAGAATTGAGAACTCAGAATTGGACCCAAAAGTATACAGCCAACTAATCTTTGACAAAACAGGAAAGAGTATCCAATGGAAAAAAGACAGCCTCTTTAACACATGGTCCTGGGAGAACTGGATAGCAACATCCAGAAAAATGAAACTGGTCTAAATCTCACACCATACACAAAAATAAACTCAAAATGGATAAAGGACCTGAATGTGAGACAGGAAACCATCAAAACCCTAGAGGAGAAAGCAGGAAACAACCTCTTTGACATCCACCGCAGCAACATCTTACTCGACACATCCCCCAAAGCAAAGGAATCAAGACCAAAAATGAACTATTGGGACCTCACCAAGATTAAAAGCTTCTGCACAGCAAAGGAAACAATCCATAAAACTAATAGGCAACCGATGGAATGGGAAAAGATAGTTGCAAATGACTTATCAGATAAAGGGTTAGTATTCAAAATCTATAAGGAACTCACCAAACTACACACCCAAAAAACAAACAACCCAGTGAAGAAATGGACAGAAGATATGAACAGACACTTCTCCAAAGAGGACATCCAGATGGCCAACAGACACATGAAACGATGCTCAGCGTCCCTCCTCATCAGGGAAATACAAATCAAAACCACACTGAGAACCACCTCACGCTGGTCAGAGTGGCTAAAATGAGCAAATCAGAGAACTCTAGATGCTGGCGAGGATGTGCAGAAATGGGCACCCTCCTACACTGTTGGTGAGAATGTAAACTGGTGCAACCCCTCTGGAAAACAGTGTGGAGGTTCCTCAGGAAAATAACAATAGAACTCCCCTAGGACCCAGCATTAGCACTGCTAGGAATTTACCCAATGGATACAGGAGTGCTGATGTATAGGAGCACATGTACCCCAATGTTTATAGCAGCACTCTCAACAATAGCCAAAACATGGAAAGAGCCTAAGTGTCCATCAATGGACGAGTGGATCAAGAAGATGTGGTTTATCTATACAATGGAGTACTACATGGCAATGAGAAACAATGAATCTGGCCATTTGTAGTAACATGGATAGAAATTGAGGGTGCTATGCTGAGTGAAATAAGTCAGGCAGAGAAGGACAGTTACCATATGTTTGCACATATAGGAGGATTAGGAGGAACTTAACGAAGGACTGTGGGGAAGAAGAAGTGGGGAAATAGTGGGGGAGAGGGAGGGAGGAAACCATGAGAGACTCTTGAATGCTGAGAACAAACTGAGGGCTGAGTGGGGGTGGGGGAGAGGAGAAGGGAGGTGATAGGCATGGAGGAGGGCACTTGGGATGATCACTGGGTGTTATATGGAAACCAACTTGACAGTAAACTATTAAAAAAGGAAAAAATTGTATGAATAAAGTTGGGGAATCAGATAAGGGATAGAGAAAAAAATATTGTTGCCATGACTTTCTCCATCGTGCTTGTCAGCCTGTGCATGAACCTTGATTTCCACTTAGTGTGGTCAGTCAGTCACTAACCATGGTCTGCTTCCTGTCATCCTAGGGCAGGTTGTATTTCCTAATTTATAGTGAGAGAAAGCAAGTCAGTGGGCCCTGGAGATCAGCTGCAGGGACTGGAGGGAGAAATCAAAGGCAAATAAGTAAAATCTGTGAATGGTGGATGTTCATTATGTTGACACTTTCACAGAATACTTGTGTGTGTGTGTCACACATGTGGTATAGGTTTCAACAAAGCTGTTCTGAAACCCAACACAAAATGTATCAAGCAGTTTACTTAAAAGATAAAAACTAGATAGTGTCCTGAGATTTTTCTATAATAGTGGAGTAGGAAAGCTGTCTACCATCTCTGAAATTATACCCAAAACTTAGCTCCATATACAGTATGAGGTGGCCAAGATGAGACAAAACCCACACGGGCATTCTAAGGGTGGTCCGTGTAAGCTGAAGCAGGAAGGGCTACCAGGACCACAGGCAGATTTACCCGCTGGGACAGTGTGGGAGGATGTCCTGAGAGTTGTGAGTGTGCACCTGGCAAAAGGGGGCAGCGAATCATCCTGGTCAGGTGTAGGCTCCCAATAGAGGATTCTGATGAAGGTCCACGGATGCAAAGGCACTTTGGGGCAGACGCTGTGTCTGAGGCAAGATTGGGAACAGCACTGACTAATGAAACATGGCCTGCGGTGCGAGGCAAGGGTAGATGGGCAGTAGGTCATCCCAGGTAATGGACAGTAGGAAAGTGCATGTGAGGTCTCACTCGTATGAAACAGGAGTTTTTAAACAGCAGTTGTTTCTGGCCCTTTCACAGCTGCTGAGTGACCTTGGGCTACATGAGACATCCTATTTACTTTGCAGCTGGATTTATCTGTATCTGTCCTCTTACTCTGATTATCAGCTGAGATGATTTTTGTTTGTTTTTATTTTCCAGTCCTTGCTGATTTCATATCTGACACGCGGAGAGCCGTAGACGGAAGGTGGAGTGTCGGCTGGTCAGGGAGCACAGATGTGCTGCCTTGATGCTGCAGGGAAAGCAGAGAAAGCCCAGGACCACCGAGGAAAAGAACCAACACTGGATAAATCCAGAAATGTCAACATACAATAAACCATTAAAACTACAGATTGGGAGAAATCCACACAGTATCAGGAGATGAGAAAGTAAGCAGCTCAGGAGTGGCCAGTCTAAGATGGAGACATAGAAGGACCCTGAACTCAGCTCTTCCAGGACAGACAAGTTTACACCTACTCATACAGCAGTGTCTCTGGAGGAAATAAGCATGGATGGAGAAGCAGGACAGACTGACCCTGGCAGTGCCTGGGCCCACTCCTGCCTCTGGGAACTGCATGGGGAAGGACAGTGGGGAGGGGCTGTGTGCAGATCCATCTGTCCAGGACACAGGAACAAAGCCACAGTTTACAATGTAAAGGAGCTTGCCCTTCACCAGACAGTGGGAGGCTGCTGTAACTGTCTCTGGGTCCTGTTTCTCCTGCACCTCAGTGAGACCTAGGTCCTAGCCCACACCAGGCCCAGATGCCCTGGAGCCCAGAGAAGGATCAGCAGAGCAGCTAGGCTGTAAAGGAAGCAGAGTTCTAACTCTGCCATGTAGTGGGGGAGCCACAGAAGAGGAGGGGAAAGGAGGAGGGGAGGGGAGAGGGAGAATGAGGGAGGAGGCCAGGGAGAAGAGAGGGGTGGTGAGAGGAGTGAGGGGGGGAAGACTTAGAGTGCAGGTGGAGGAGAGTTAGGAGGGGGAGGGGGAGGGGAGAGGAAGAGTGGAGAGGGAAGGGAAGAGAGAGAATAAGGGTATGAGGACAGGGAAGGGAGAGGGGGAGAGGGGGATAGAGAGAAGGAAAAGGTGGAGGAGGGGATTGGAGGGGAGGGAGTATGGGGAGTATGTGTGGTTATGTTTCCCCCTTATCCCCACTGCTGACAACCCTCAATCTGATGTCTGTCTGTCTGCATGTACAGGTCCTGGACAGGCCATGTGGGACCCCACAGTCTGGGGCCTCCTGTGTCGTTCCACCTTGCACTCAGGGAGCTGGTCCCCATCTGAGGTTCATCTCTGCCCCTGAGGGGTGGTTACTGTCTCCAGTTGCTCTTCCCACTCATAAAAGGCTGTGGACCATGCACATGACCAGAAAGGACCACTTGTTCACATGAGCCCACCTTCAGGGTTTATTCTCCTAGGCAAGCATCACCACCTGCTTCCATCACCGTTGCCAAACCCTAGATGCTCCCTCTAATGTCACATTCCCAGTCCTCCATCCTGACCCAGAAGTACACCTGCACTAGGTTTTAGCCAATGTCATTTTCTGCTTAAAGCAATGAATGGGGAGATGAAAAAGAGTGGCAGACTTAACTCTTCATATTTATATATAAGAGGGGAGCCACTTGATTACCAAACAGTTCACTCTCCTCAAGGGAACGCAGAGGACGGTTTGGGTTGGCAGCATCAGCCCCTGTGTGAGCACAGACTTTGGGCAGGGGACCAAACCTTCAGTCCATAACATTCTGTCGAATTCAATTGAACACCCCACCTCCAAGTGGGACAAGAGCTTTCCTTAAACGTCTTTCCCCTCCCAAACTCTCCCAGAAAATGTGCATACTTTTGGGTCAACAGGAGGGAAGAACAGGTAGGGTTCAGTCCAGTGTCTTACTCACAAAAGGGGTAATGGGGTGGAGTGTTCTGAGCCCAGCCCAAGTCAGGTACCCAACGAGGACAGACTGTCATGGCCCCAGACATGGAGGAGGAGGTGGCCCGAATTCCTGCACAGGAGTCTTAGGAGGAAATGCCAGAATTTGGCCAACTTCAACCTGATGGTGAGAAACTTTCCCAGAGTTACCAGGCCCAGCCTGTCCAGGACTGGAGGTGTATTGATAACGGAAAAACTTTATCTGAGTCCCCCAGCTTCTGACCTTGGCCTGATCCTCATACTCAAGAGCCAGGTCTCCGCCTAGGGTCTCCTGTCACCGGCCCAGACAACGATCTCTCCACAGGCTGCCTTGCTGGGTCTTCCTCTCTCCCCTTATCTCCTGCTACCACGACCTTTCTCCTCAACACTCAGTGTATTCAGTTCTGTCAACTACACACCTTAAGAAGCCCTTCATTTATTTATTTTTTCTGTTGCAACTGCCAAAAAGGCCGTTGTCATTTTTACAGAAAGTAATAGGATTCTACAGAAGCTGGGGAACTCAGCTGCCCACCTCTCCTATCATGGCCTCAAACTTTGTTCTACAGCCTTCTGGAACTTGCAGAGAAGTCAACTGATCCCCTCAAGGCCACCATAATCTCCCTGGGTAACTCTACAGTCGCACTATTTGGCAAGGTGAGTACTTTCTACTTTAAAGGAACTCCTCCAGATGTCTGTGTTCTTCACCCATTCCCTATTCTTGAGTGACAAGGAGGCCCCAGTGGCCTTCACCAAAGGAAGGCAAGCATGGAAGATAATGAGAGCATGTGCCAGCATACCCCCACCCCCATGCCAATCCTGCAAGGCAGTGCTGGGTTGAATCACCCACACCAGTACATGATTCAAGACACTTGTTCTGGATGCTGAGTTCACCATAAATAATAAAGCTTAGGAGCATGCTAGCCTCAAGCCATCTCTGCCCAGGAGCCCTTGGGGCTCATGTGCCTCCACCTCCAGCTGTAAGTTTCCTTGGGGGAACTGTAAGGGGGTCGACAGAGGTACTTCTGGGCTTGGAGTCACCCGACCAGGGTGTGGGTTTTCTCCCCCAGCTTGCTGGTGTTCCACAACAGAGCAGAGCCAGAGGTCAGGGAACGCTTCTACACAAGTGGGTGAGTTCACAGGGGATTGTGTCCATGGAACTCTGTGGATACATGACCACAAAAGAAACCTCATCCACAAGTAGGTGGATATGAGAGCAGGTGGCCACTGTTATGTCTCCATCTCTAGGATGAATAACTTGTGCACGAGTAAGAGGGGCCAAGATAGTGAAAAGGGACCTTTCTCTCCTCTGGCCATGTTTCCTTCACTCCTTTTAGCCTCCTAGTGGTGACTCATCTCTCACCAAGACAGGAGACAGAGAATAAGAAAGAGAGACAGAGACAGAAACTGAGAAAGACAGAGACAGACACATAGAGACAGAGATGGAGAGAGATGGAGACAGACAAAGGCACACACAAAGACAGAAAGAGGAAGAGACAGAGACATAAACCGAGAGAGACAGAGGCAGAGATGGAGAGAGATAGAGACAGAAACACAGAGAGACAGAAACAGAAAGAAAGAAAGAGAGAAAGAAAGAAAAGAAAGAAAGAAAGAGAAAGAATCAGGAAAGTCTGCATATAAGCAGTNCTAAAAAGTAGAAGAGGAAGAAAAGCTTCCAAATTCATTTTATGAGGCCAGAATTACCCAGATACCAGAACCAGTAAAAGACATTACAAGAGAGATAGAGACAGAAACACAGAGAGACAGAAACAGAAAGAAAGAAAGAGAGAAAGAAAGAAAAGAAAGAAAGAAAGAGAAAGAAAGAAAGAAAGAAAGAAAGAAAGAAAGAAAGAAAGAAAGAAAGAAAGAAAGAAAAAGAAAGAAAGAAGGAAGGAAGGAGACAGTGAAAGAGAGACAGAGAAAGAAACCAAGAGAACAGACAAACACTGAGAGACAGACACAGAAAATAACTCCCTCCTGCCCTGTCTCCAATGACCAGGGCTCAGGCCTCTCTGTCCTTAGCAGGCATGGCAAACACACAGGGTCCAGACATTTTTCCACCCTGCGGCTGCATCACCTTTGCCTTCCTGCTGCTCCTGTCCTGCAGCCTCTCTGCAAACAGTAGGAAGCTCCACCCACCCTCACCCTGTCTTAAGAGGGAACCATGGCATGGACAGGAAGGCAGGAGGGGGCTGAGCTGGATCCTAGCAGTCCTTCCCTGGGGACCCTAAGCAGGCTGGCAGGTGGGGAGGGGAGGGGGAGGAACACTGGGGAAGGCGGCTGGGCCCCTGTCTCCTCTCACCTGGCCTAACCCATGCTTTTTGTTCTGCCCTCATAAGGGAAAGCTCATTTCTATGTCCTTGGACCTGGCCAGCCAGTTCTGGCTGTGGTGGGGTAAAGTGTGGAGTTGCAATGCCGTCTGTCCCTCAATATCAGCGCAGAGGACATGGAGGTGCGGTGGTACAGGGAGCAGGAGTCCCCAGCTGTGCACCTGTACAAGGGAGGCAGGGACGTGCCTGAAGAGCAGATGAGGCAGTACCAGGGCAGGACGATCTTTCTGACTGCTGGGCTGACCCACAGCCAAGCCGCACTGACCGTACACAACATCACTGTGTTCGATAACGGGACCTTCCACTGCAAGTTCAAAGATGATGTGGTGTCTGAGAACACCACACTGTGGCTGAGGGTGGCAGGTGAGGGTTGCCACTGGGGCCCCTGACCTTCTGGTCTCCCCTAGAGCTTCTCCCCCAGCTGCAGATCGTCCCATGATGGCACAAGCCTGAGCATGTCCCACAGCATGTGCTAATGCACCAGAACAGGCAGGTTCTGGACACCTGGCTTGTTTTCTAAGTCCATTTTGCTCTGTTATCTCCACTGACCCAGTAAGAGGAGAGTCGAGGTAGGGAGGGAAAGACAGAGGCAGAGAGAAACAGAGAGAGACATAGAGAGGAAAAGACACTGATTTTGCCATACAGGAAAGGTATTTGATCTTCCTGGTCCTCTTCTGTATTGTCCTGTGCTTTCTGGGTAGAGGGTAACATATATAGCATATAAATATTACACAGAGTAGGTAGTCCATGAAAAACCTCAATACCTGCTGGAAATTCTCAGGATCTGTACTTTTCCATCAGGAGTGGTAATGGTTGCAGAGGCTGGAAAGGCTGTTTCTTCTCATAGGGCTGGGCTCTGAGCCCAGAATGCAAGTACAAGCTGGCCGGGGTGAAGGTATCAGGGCAGAGTGCACCTCGAAGGGCTGGTACCCAGAGCCCCAGGTGGAGTGGAGAGACTTCAGGGGACAGGCCGTATCTTCCATGACCAACCTCACAGTGTCGCCAACAACGGGTCTCTTTGCAGTGGTGTCCAACGTGACCGTCCAGGACAGGGACGTGGGGGGCCTCTTTTGCTCCATCTCCAGCCCCCTCCTCCAAGAGAGGAAGGAGGCCAAGAGCCAACTTCCCGGTGAGTGGTCTGCTCCATTCAGGCCTCAAGAGCTCTGAGCATCCCAGACAGTAAGTTGTTAATATCCAATACCCTACATAGTTCCTTGTGATCAGAACTTGTAAGCTCTACTCTCTCCCAGCTTCCAAATACACAACCCAGTAGTTAACTACAGTTTCCATGCTATATGACACCTCCCTGGGGTTTATTTATTTTATAACTGGAAATTTGTACCTTTTGACCCTCTTCACCCTTTACATCCCCCATCTCTCACCTCTGGAAACCACCAATCTGTTCTCTGCATCTATGAAGTGGGCTGTCTGGTTTTCTGGAGGTTTGGGGAGGTGTTTTGTCTCATTTTATATTTTACTTATCCATGAGATCCTACATTTTTGTCCCTGTCCGACTAACTTCAATTAGCAAAGCCCTCAAGGTGCATCCATATTGTTGCAAATGCCTGGATTCCCTTCTTGTTTATAGCTGAATAGCATCCCATTGTTTAAATATATTCTTTTCTTTATCCATTCATCCATTGGTGGATGCTTGGGCTCTTTCCATATCTTGGCTATTGTAAAATAATACTGCCATAAATGTAGGGATGCATTAGCTTTATTAGTTAATATTTTTATTTTCTTTGGATACATACCCAGAAGTGGGATTGATGGATCAGGTGGTAGTTCTGTTTTTATGTGTTTGAGGAGTGTCCAACGTGCTCTCCACAGTGACTGTACAGATAGCTCCCTTCTACTAGCAGTAAACAGTATTCTGTTGTCTGGATGCCCTACAGTCTGTTTATGCATCCACCTTCCAAAGGACACCTTGGGGGCTTCCAGTTTCATTCTATATAAAAATTTCTTTCTAAATAACCTCAATCTTCCAGAAAATTTGCAGGTATGATACACAGAACGCAGACCTACCCAGTATTTAACCTTCTGCCAGTTGTCTACCATCTCTCTCCTGTGTGTCTGTCCAGATCTGTCTGTACAAACACACACATATGTTTTCCGGGTCATGTCAGGTTAGTTCACCAGAACCTGCCCCCCGACTCAAGAACCCCATGGTGTTCCTAAGAACACAGGGACTCTCTCACCCTGGTATTCCCACCTCCCCAGTCTCTGTTTTAGCTCAGTTGTCCAGAGGTTTCCTGTCAGTGGTGTGGAGGACAGTGCTGCCTGTGATCCTAACTGTGGTGGGGCTTGTAGCAACTGGAGCCACCTGTCTTTTCTGGAAATGTCAGAGGGACAGGAATAGAGTGCAGCCGGAAGAAGAGAAACTGTGCAGAGAAGAGGAGGCATGCTGTCAGCAGCATTTTACACAGAGCTAGAACAAACAATCCTAAAATTTATATGGAACCACTAAAGACCTCAAATAGCCAAAGCAATCCTGACAAAGAAAAGCAAATCTAGAGGCATCACAATTCTGGACATCAAGCTACATTACATCAAGCTATAGTGATCAAAGCAGTATGATACGGGCACAAAATCGACAGATAGATTAATGAAACAGAATAGAAAACCCAGAAATAGACCCACAACTATATGGTCCATTAATCTTCGCCAAAGTGGGAAAGAATATCCAATGGGAAAAAGACAGTTTTTTCAACAACTGTTGTTGGATAAACTGGTCAGCTACATGCAAAAGAATGAAACTAAACCACTTTTCTTACACCATACACAAGAATAAATTCAAAATGGATGAAAGACCTAAATATGAGACCTAAAATCATAAAAATACTAGAAGTTACTCAGGCAGTAACTTCGATATCAGCCAAAGCAACGTCTTTCTAGACATGACTTCCGTGGCAAGGAGAAACAGAAACAAAAATAAACTATTGTGACGTCATCAAGATAAAAAGCTTCTGCACGGTGAAGGAAACAATAAAACTGAAAGGCAACCAATGGAATGGGAGAAGTAATTTGCAAATGCATATCTGATAAAAGGTTAGTTTCCAAAATATATAAAGAACTTCCATAACTCAAAACCAAAAATCTAATAACCTAATATAAAAATGGGCAGAAGACATAATAGAGATTTTCTCAAAGACATACAGATGGCAGACAGACACATGAAAAGATGCTCAACATCAATGACCATCAGGGAAATACAAACCAAAACTACAATGAGATATCACCCAATGTGCTAAAATGAGTAACACAGGAATCAACAGGCATTGGGGAGGATGCAGAGAAAGGGGACCTCTCTTACACTGTTGGTAGGGATGCACACTGATGCAGCCACTGTGGAAAACAGTATGGAGCTTCTTCAAAAAGTTAAAAATCAACTACCTCATGATCCTGCAGTTGAACTACTAGCAATTCTATTTACTCAAAAAATAGAAAAATACAAATTCCAAGGGATACATCTACCCCAATGTTGATAGCAGCCTTATCTACAATAGTAAGCTTATGGAAACAGATCAAGTGTCCATCGACAGCTGAATGAGCACTGAGTGAGGTATGGAAGTGTAGAGTCATTATATTGTATACACGAAACTAATGTTACAGTGTATTTTAACTAACTGGGATTTAAATAACAACTCTAAGAAAAAGGGATTTGAAAAAACAATTTTTTTTTCATATTCTCTGTCTCTGTTCAGAACTGTAGAGCAGACGTGGTGAAGAATAACTAAAAAAGGCAGTGCCTGGGTGACTCAGTTGATTAAGTTCCAACTCTTGATTTCAGCCCAGGTCATGATCTCATGGTTCATGACATCAAGCCCCATGTCAGGCTCTGTGGTGACAGTGTGGAACCTGCTTGGGATTCCTTCTCTCTCTCTCTCTCTCTCTCTGCTTCTCTTCACCCCCACCATGTACACTCTCTCTAAATAAATAAATAAACATTAAAAAAAATTAAAACTTAGAAAATTTATTAGCTTTTAAAGGAGAGACAAAACTTCACCTCCAGCCATTTTAGGTTTTCTGCTGAGCTTTTAACAAAGAGATTAATAAGAGAAAAACAAGTTACTAACACATCACATGGGAGAAACCAAAATGAAGGAGGAATTCAAAGTGGGTTTTAGAAAGCCAGCCTACTTAGCATCTTCAACAAAGAACAATACTTGTGGAGAGAAGTAACAACAGAAAGAAAAGTAGTTTGAGTCTTCCAAAGCTGGCACTCTGTGGGAAGGTAAATACGAGAGAGGAAACTAATGGAGTAAGTTTTGCTTTCTAGGGGGTGCTAAGAATCCATGTAGCAAAAGGAGAATTTATATCTTTAGGTAGAAGAGGTGGAGGATAGGGTGAGTTTCTCCTGTGTTTACTGCTTCCTAATTGCTTTCATGTCAGAATATTTTTTATGTCAAAAAGACATATTTTGGGGTACATATTCTGGTTTCCTTCAGTTTCATGATCAAAACAAAAGGGGAAGGTGACTTTTAAAAAAACTTTATTTATTTTTGAGAGAAAGAGAAAGAGCGCAAGTGGAGGAGGAGCAGAGAGAAACAGAGAGAAAATCCCAAGCAGGCTTCACACTGTCCGAATAGAGTCTGACACGGGGCTTGATTTCACAAACTGAGATCATGACTTGAGCCGAAATCAAGAGTCCAATGTAAAACTGAATGAGTGACCCAGGTGCTCCAAAAGGGGAAAGGATTCTTAAATTTTTAAAAAATGTTTATTTATTTTTGAGAGAGGGAGGGAGATGGAGTGTGAACAGGGGAGGTGCAGAGAGAGAAAGAGGGAGACACAGAATGTGAAGCAGGCTCCAGGCTCTGAGCTGTCAGCACAGGGCCTGACGAGGGTCTCAAACTCACAAACCGAGAGATCATGACCCGAACCGAAATTGGCCGCTCCACTGACTGAGCCACCCAGGCACTCCAGTAAAGGATTTTAATGGAAGAGATATAGCTGCAATATTTTTAGACAATTTGATTATATAAAAACAATATACAACAGAATTAACTTGTATTTTGCTTTATTGTATCTCTGGTTACAACTGCTATATGATGCTAAACAGTACCAATGAATAAGAATCTTTTCCTTGTTCTTGATCTTGAAAGGGAATCTATAAAACTTTATTAAGCTTTATAAAAATGCATAAATTTATGTATAATGTTAGCAATTTAGGGAAGTAGTCTCCTATTCCTAGTTTCCTAAGAGGACTTATCCCAGATAGGCATTGAATGTTATCAAATGCTTTAAACGCTTTTGTTGAATAGTCAGTGCTCACTTCAGTAGCACATATACTAAAAATTGGAAGGGGCGCCTGGGTGGCTTAGTCGGTTAAGCGTCCGACTTTACGACTTTCGCTTCGGTCATGATCTCGCAGTTCGTGGGTTCGAGCCCCGCGTCGGGCTCTGTGCTGACTGCCAGCTCGGAGCCTGGAGCCTGTTTCAGTCTGTGACTCCCTCTCTCTCTGACCCTCCCCTGCTCACGCTGTCTCTCTCTCCTAGAAATAAATAAAACATTTAAAAAAAAATTGGAATAAACAGTCATGTGGTTTTACTTATTAAGTCTGTTAACAAGGTAGCCAGGCTGCATTTATTGCTTTTCTGATACTAAAGCATTCCAAAAGTAAATCCATGTGAATATGAGTTTTTGACTATGTTCTTGTATTTAGTTAACTAATTTTTTTTTTTAGATTTTCTACTTCTAATTTCATAAGACAATCTATTTCTTTTTATTTTGTCTTTAGCTTGTTTTGAAAGGAAATTTTCACTGGCCTCAGAAAGAACTGAGAAGATATTTTTTTTTGGCGTGGTGGTGGTGGTATTTTTTTGGAGAAAGATGTAAAAGAATTAGCTGTTCCTCAAAAGATTGGTAGATTTACTCTATTTTGATTACTGTTTCAGTTTCCATATGTATTTTACTTTACTTTTATTTTATTTTATTTTAAGTGTGTATTTATTTTGAGAGAGAGTGAGAGCACGTGCATAAGTGGGGTAGGGACAGAGAGAGGGAGAGAGAAAATCCCAAGCAGGCTCCCTGTGGCCAGTGAGGCCCCAAAGCGGGTCTCAATCTCACCAACCGTGAGATCATGACCTGAGCCAAATTCAAGAGCGGGGTGCTTAACCAAGGTATACAGGTGCCCCTTCTATATTTACTTTAATTATTTCTTTTTCCCCGTTACATTTTGTCATTTTATCTTTTTTAAAAATCTATTTGTTCTCTGTTATCTAAGTTGATAAATGCATAGGTGGTTTAGTTTGTTAGGACTGCCTTAACAAGGCCCCATGTACTAGGTGGCTTAAATAACAGATATTTATTGTGCATGTTTCTGGAGGTTGGAAGTCTGAAACTAAGGTATTGGCAGGGTTAAATCTTCATGAGGGCTGTAAGGAAAGGACCTGTTCTTGCCCCCCCCCCCCCCGGCTTTTTTTTGGCTTGTAGATAGTTATCACCGTGTTGATAGGGCATTATCCCTGTATGCAAGTCTATCTCCAAATTTCCCCTTTTAATAAGAATACCAGTCATACTAGATTGGGGTCCACCCCCCACTGACCTCATTTTAAAAGACTTTATCTCAAAATAAGGTCACGTTCTGAGATACTGGGGGTTTGGACTCCAACCTATGAGTTTGCAGGGAGATAGAATTCAACCTGTAACAATTGATGAATCGTATTCAAAATGCTTCATTAAATTTTAATATTTATGGGTTTTAAATATTTATTTTTGAGAGAGAGAGAGCAGGGGAAGGGCATAAGGGGAGGAAGAGAGAGAATTCCAGGCAGGCTCTATGCTGTTTGCATGGAGTCTGACTCTGGGCTTAAACCCATGAACAGTAAGATCGTGACCTGAGCCTAAATCAAGAGTCAGATGCTTAATTGAATGAGCCACCCAGGCACCATACTAATACCAATTTTAATTTTGTGTCTGGCTTTCTTTAATTTAACCTCAATATCCTCTCTCTCTCTCTTTCTCTTTCTCTCTATCTCTCTCTCTTTCTCAGATTCTTACTATCTAGAGTTGGCATTTCTACCTCCATTTTTCATATTGCTCAGCTTTTTCTTTTGTATTTTCCATTTTGTTTTCTTTTCTACTATGTTTTAGACTAATTTATCCTCTTTTTTAAAAAATGATTATAATGTTTGTTTACCTTTGAGAGACAGACAGAGCTTGAGTTGGGGAGGGGAAGATAGAGAGGGAGACACAGAATCCAAAGCAGGCTTCAGGCTCTGAGCTGTCAGCACAGTGCCTGACGTGGGGCTCGAACCCATGAACCGTGAGATCATGACCTGAGCCAAAGTTGGCCGCTTAACCAACTGAGCTACCCAGGCACCCCAAGGCTAATTAACTCTTCATAACATCCATGCTCCTGATTAATTCTACAAAGTGTCCTGTATTTCAAATACATTCCCTTACTTAATATTTCCACTTGGCTTTCCTATTCTTGTTGAGTATTTTTATTGTTTTAATTCTCAGAATCACTCTTTGATTTTTCTTCTTGGAATATTCTGGGAATTATTGTATTTTAGAGGGGTTACATTTCTCAGGTCCCCAGCTACTTTACATGTTCTCCAGGCATCAGTGACCTCATCCAGTATCATGACTGAAGGTCAATTTTTTAATTTAAGGAGACATCTTGACCTTGGAATGCAAGACTGTGAGTTATAAGCACAACAGACTACTGTCGGCAACCCTTTTCTGTTTCTACCTCACAGAGAAACTCCTGTGGCCCAGAATTCAACCTTAAAGGCTATGAAAAAACCAGTACTTGGAAAAGGTAATCTTTTTAGGTTATGATCACAATCCATGGGGGTCATGAGGAGAGGAATTAGAGGAATTAACTAACATAATAAGGTTCCTGACTAGCCTGCAAGGGTACATTTTAAAATTCGATCTTTCTAACAAAATTATAAACATATATGTGCTAAACATCAGATATCCAAAATATGGAAAGCAAACACTAACAGAATTTTTTAAATTATTCTGAA